GCCGAGGGACAGCAGCCGTGGCTCTTTGCTTTGCTCTCGGCTGGGATGGGAGCTGAAAAAGAGGTGCAACCGCCCTCTGGCAGCACCGGGGTTTTCTGCTGGAGCTACCTCCCCAGCGTGGGAAGCCGAGTCTGGGGGCAATTAAGAAAAAGTTTTCTTTCTCATCGCTGGTTTTACGTCTGCCTCCGGCACCCTGGGATGAGCCGTCTCCTTTCGGTGTAAGCCCACGCCAGGGCTGGCCGGGAGATCCTCCCGCAGCTGCTGCGCTTCCCAGTGCTTTATTTCTTGACAAGAGCCAGATTTATTGAAGGGACTGATCAGCTCGTGCCCGGCCGGCATCAGCCCCGGCACTGGAGCAGCCTGATTTACACGCTGAGTTTAACAGGTCGCGGCAAAGGAGCAGCTGGGTCAGGGAGTCCATTGCTCCCTGCCCCAAGCTGTGTCCCCTCGAGTGCGGCTGTCGTGTGTCACCCCGGAGCGGCCGCCTTTCGGTGGCACTGGCGCTGGGAAATGGAGGAATTTGTTATCGGCTCCGCGTTGTGTCGGTGCATCGCGATGCCTGGGCAATTTGCCTGCCCTGTCAAGCTTGCATCCCCCATTTTCAGCTGGGGAAACTGAGGCACGGAGACCTGGTAAGCAGCCCAGGGTCTGCGGGGCGTGGGATCTTTATCGTTCTCCGAGGAGATGCTGAGGGCTGGATCCTGCCTTGGCACTGGGCCTGATTCTGCAGCCCCGGGGAAGGGGCAGCAGGCCGGGGGCTGCAGCTCGCTCTGCTCCGATGACAAGGTCTGACCGTCCCCGCTCAGCCCCTCGCTCCTCCAGCCCCTGCGGTGCTTTACACTCTTCCTAATTAAAAGCTGCCGTCCAAATGGCTCGATGATGGAAATTCTAATTAAATCAATTCCATCTTGTCGGTGAACCAGAGGTTTGCATAAGATATGCATGAAATTAATAATTATGGTTAGGGAATTAGCTGCTCCCGACCCTGTCTCTGGCTTCGGGGGGGAGCTTGTGCCATGAGCAGCAGGGCCGGTGCAGAAGTCCCTTCTCATGGGGATGCTCCCGACCGGTGTGTGTGGCTCTGGCTGTTCAATGGCCCATTTGTTTTTCGGCTCCTTCCCTCCTGGCCGCTCAGGCGGATGTTCAGATTGATGGTTTAAGTTGGAGCATTGCAGCCCCCCAAGCCTCGGCTGGGGCCGCGCTGAAATCGCCGCCTTTGCCTAATTCTCCCCGATCTGGAGGGGATTCTGTCCGCTGCCGGTAGAGAAAATGCCTCATTAGCTCATAAGCCGGTGGTAATGAAATGGGTGTGATTGCGATGCATTTGAGGTTGATCACACCAGTCCATTGACCCAGGGGCTGGGGGGAGCAGGATGACACCCTGAACCCCGGCTCCTGCCTGCTGTCTTACCCTGAGGGACATTTCTCCAGGTTGGGGGTGCTTCTAGATGATGCCGACTCTGGTTTTTGGTTCAAAATAAGGGAAGAAGGAGGTTTTTCCCCCTGCCCCGGGGTTACTCCTGGATCTTGATGGGACAAGGGAGCCTTGAGGTGCAGGAGAGCTGATCCCGCTGATTTCCCCACCACCACCGTGGTATTTATCCCAGGCTGGCGATGAGCCAGGCAAGGTACCACCGGTGCCCAAATATGCAGCTGAGATACGTTTCCAGCTCTCCGTCCCCACCACAACCTTCTTCTTTCTAAGAACCTTGAATTCTCTGCCTGCATTTTGCTTTTATGGACCTAAAAGGACTTTTGTCTTTTATCTGAGAAAATAGCTGGTGCTGGGTGTCGGCCTGTTGTAGACCAGGAGATCAAAAAGGCAGAGGGGGAAAAAGGTAAGAAGTCTATGAAATGGTCATTTGGGAACTGGTATTTTATTTTCACTTCCATCCAAGGCAGAGGAGTGAGAGAGAAAAGCTCTTTCCATTTGTTTATTAAAATACAGCTTCCAGTTCATAGCCTGTAGATCAACAGGTATCTTCTAGGCTTCATTTTCGAGCAGGGGTTCAAGCAGGATGGGCACCCCAGGGATTAAACCCAGGCGCACCCCGGGCATCTGGGCTTGGATGGGATGCGCGGTGTCACGGGGGAATAGCTGGGAAGTCCCCATCACCAGAGCCCCGCCGAGGAGGCAGGGATCTATTTAAACTAAACCACTATGCAGAAAAAAAATCGTTGGGAAAGGATCCTCTGGAAAGGCAGGGTTGCGTCCCTGGCCCCGAATCTCCTTTGACGTGGGCACCGCTGCTTTCCATGCCCACTTGCCCTCGTCGCACGGGCACGCTGCATGCATCGCCTCCCCCCCAAGCCCCCGTGTCCATCCTTTGGCCAGCGCGGCTGCAGGCAAGGCAGGGGGGAGGCAAGGAGAGCAGGCGTGGAGCAGCCCCCTCGTTCCCTCCCCAGGAAGAATGATTGCCAGACGAGCGCCTCGCCTGCTGCGCAGAATTTTAATCGAGTCCCTTGTACTGGCTCCCGGTCACAGATACCCAACGAGCAGATCACAGCCCCTCGGAAAGGAGCACAAAGCAGATTGTCACAGAGAGTAATCCTATTTGTGCCTTGATAAAGATTCTTTCCTTTTCCTCTCCCACTCCTTCTCCATCTCTCTCTTTTTTCATCTTATATTTTGCAGGTAGGTAGAAGGGTGGCTGCTCCTTTCGAGGGGCCTTTTAGCATTCAGGTGGAGTCGTGGGTTTATAACACCGGTAACGCATTTAATAGAGAGAGCGTGGGGGGAGCGGAAGAGGGGAAAATAATGGAGAAACAGAGGAGAAACTGTGAGATGCAGCCTGGGAGCAGGAGCGGAGGAGGATGGGGTGGGTCGTGGGGGGGGGGAGGGTGGGGAGATCCGGGTGGCTCCGGTGCAAGTCCCCCTGTCCTTGGTCTGCCACTACCCAGCCGGTGCTGTGCCTGCGGGGACGGGGGCTTCTCTCAGCCTTGGGGCAGGGACGGGTCGGACGAGGTGTTGGGATGGGGCGATACCGATATTTAACCAGGGAGTTGTGGTGGTGAAGCACCGTCATTAAGAGGCAGGTACCAAAATTTTGGGCTCCCAGCAGGGTGGCTTGATCGTGTAACACGAACTATGATCCCTACGGACCCCAAACCTCTCCCCATCACCTCCAAGCCCACCCAGGTGTCTCGGCTGCTGGGAATTGGCTAATTGCTTAATGGGGAGTGGTGATGGGTGAGGCCAAAGGCAGCCTGAGCTGATTTGGGCATCCGACATGACCCAGGTGCCTGCTGAGCCTGGGGGATTACTGGGATCCGTTGCAGTCCCCTGTGGCTCCGGCAGCATTTGTGCTCCTACAAGTGGCGATTACTGAAATATTCCTAAACTGGATTAGAGGGAGCAGGAGAGGGGGAAAGTCCTCTAAGAGCTGGGAATTGCTGCTCTGTACCCGTTTGCCCCCAAGGCATGGGGAAGTTTGGGATCTGCAATGCCCTGGGCTGTTCCTCCTCCGTTTGCTCTGTCCTGGCAGTAAAGAAGCGTCTGTTAGAAGGCAAGAGGGCAGTGGGTGGCCGGATCCTTCCCCGGGCTGTGCCGGCTCCAGGTAGGGCTGTCGCAGCCTCTGCAGCCCTGTAGCCACGGTGAGGCTGTACCATGGCTGAGCTCCAGCCCCTGCGATTATATAGCTGCTGAATTTAAAACCTTGCCCAGGCCTTGAGCAGGGCTCTGCCAGCCCTTGCAATGTGCCAGGGAGGTGTCGGGCTGCACCCGGGAGAGCTGTGTGGTACCTGCCCGGGTGTGGGACAAGGGAGCTGTCTGGGTACTCGATACGTCTTTTGTAGGGAGCTTCATGCTGGTGGGGAGAACCTGGGCTTGATAATTTAATAAGCCTTTTCCATCTTTAAGATAAATTAATATCTGTGGTGTGTTTTGGAGATGTAAAGTGCTGTGTAAGTGTTAAGCATCGGATGATCCTCTGGTGCTAAATCATTCTAATGTACTGTGCGAGGTGCGGCAGCTCTGGTTAATTTAAGGGGCTTATTTATGGCTTGGGTGGACAGGACCTGGTGGGGTGGGGTTGGATCTGTCCTTCTTGGGGCAGGAAGCCAAAGGGAAACCTTAGCAGTGCTGCCCAGGGCAGGAGTAAGGTTTTCTCTTTGGCCTCTCCCATTCTGGGTACATCCCATGCTTGGGAAACCCTTCTGGGGTCCTTGCTGGGTGTCCCTGAGCTTCAGGTGGTCCCCAAGCCGCGACATCTCCAGGGGCTGGGCCAGCCTGCGTGGCCAAGGCTTGGTACCTACTTTCCCTGGATGGTGCTGGTCCCCTTCACCCAGGCAGCACCCAGAGACACACACAGCTCTCGTTCTGGCTGGCACCCGGGGAGCACGGTGGGGAGATCAAAGTAGGTAGGCAGGCATGTTACATGCAGAAATGAAAGCCTGGGATGCTCTGAACCTCTCCCTGCAAAGCCCAGGGCTGCCTGGCTCCTTGGTGGACCTCGAAGGGACTTACTGGTGGCTGCTCTGCCCTGGGGCTGGTTTCTCTTCTTCCTCAGGAGATCCTGGAGTCCTTCTGGCCTGCTGGGCTCTGCCCAGCCAGGCATTTCTGTGGGCAGAAATGTAAAGCAGCAGCTTGGCGCTTTCTGATGGTTTTATTTCCCCCCTTCCCAGGCATTGGTGTGTGTGGGTTTAGACTGGTCTGGAGGGCGCAGAGGAGATCTGTGTCCCGGCATGGGTTGGGGTGGCTTTGTGTCTCCTGTACCCAATTATGGGTGGAAATCACCAGATCAAAGCCTTTGGGTTGCCACCAAGACCCAGTAGAGCTGATCACCCTCCACTTCATGGTCTCCCCTCCATGAGTTGCTGGTCCTGGGTGCTGTGGAGCATCCCATGTCTGTCTGGCGGCACGTGCTCCCACCTGACCCATAGTCTTCCTTGATATCCATCTCCCTCTCCTCCAGAGCAGGGCTTTGGGAGCAGGGGCAAGGTGGGGGCATTGCAGTGGGGTGGAGATCACCTCTTTCTCCTGATGCTTTGTCTTTTTCCATCCCAGATCCCCCAGATCAGCTATGCCTCCACCGCGCCGGACCTGAGTGACAACAGCCGCTACGACTTCTTCTCCCGCGTCGTCCCGTCTGACACCTACCAGGCCCAAGCCATGGTGGACATCGTCAAAGCCCTCAAGTGGAACTACGTCTCCACCTTGGCCTCTGAGGGCAGCTATGGCGAAAGCGGCGTGGAGGCCTTCATCCAGAAGTCCAGGGAGGATGGTGAGTGGGTTTCCCCCAGGATGGGGGCTCGGCGTGGGCTTTGGAGCAGCTGGGGCCAGAGGAGAAAAGGCAATGGATGGGAACGGAGGGATGCATCTGGTTGGGCTTCTTGGCCTGAGCTGGGATGTGGTTGCGGTGCATGAGCAGGGGTGGATGGCACAGTTTGGGGGACGATCCCAAGGAGGTGCGGGTTTTGGGGCTGCCCTGCTGATTGCAAGGACAACGTGGTGTCCAGCAAGGATCCAAGCTCTCCAGCAAGGATTGGGACCAGCAATCCCAAGCTGCCTCTGCTCTGCAGGGCAGGCTGCTTTACTGCTGCCAGCTCCTTTCGGAAAGCATCTTGAGATCCCGTTCCCTGCTCACTTGGAATCGCTGAGCTGGTGGCTGCCGAGCCGGTTTAACCCCCTCCTCCTGCGGCTGAGCCGCAGCGCTGGGTGCGTTCCAGAAGAAAAGACTTTTACAAATACTCCCAGGTTTTGACAGAAAATAACGTTGGCACCAACGCGCGCTTTGCCCAATTTTAGTGGAATTATCCCCGAGGGCCGGTGCTTTAACTTGTCTATAGGCTTTGGACAGGCGGAAAGTCTGGGCTCAGCAAAACTCTTTGGGAGGATTTGTTTGGAGCCGGAAAGCATTTTGCTGACGGGAGCGCTGGGATGCTTAGGGGGGATTAGCAACCTCGGGAGCGGCGGAGGAGCTCGTGGGTACTCGCTGGTGGCCGAGCATCAATCCCAGGACCAGCTGGGATGGTGAGGACCCCCGGGTGTTGCTGTCATGGGTGCTATTACCGTGAGTCCGAAGCCAACCCGAGACCCTGCAGAGGGACCGGCACAGCACCGGGTCCCTCCTCGCTCCGGCATTGTTTTGCCTCCGCAGCATCGCATGCATGGGGCGAGACGGGAGCTAAAGAGTGCTTTCTGAGGCAGTTAAAACCCTGCAGCGCACAGGCTGCTGCCTATTACTGGCTTAACTGTATCTGAATGACACATTAAATTCTGGCAAAATCGGTGGGACACCAGCCTATCCGGAGCTAGTCAAACTGTGTTATGGCCTTATAAATGGATAAAGGGAATAAAAACTTCTAGGTGACGAGCTCCTAATCAAAGTCCTATAAATAGGAACAGCGTTAATTCTGTCTCGCGCGCACGCCCTGGCACTGGGAACCGGCTGTGCTTTTAATATGCAGAGAAACCCATCTGGGGATTCAACCTGGAATCTGCTCTTCAGGATTTTAACTTGAAAAGCAGAATATTTACACGGGGCTGTGGTTTTGCAAGGAGGGAGCGCATGGGGATGCTTCGGAGTAGGCAGGTGCGATGCTTGTTGTACGGCTGGGCGTGGGGCGTGCTGCCTGCGCGCCCCGTGATGGGGATGCGGGTGTGAGCGGTGGCGGGGTGCCTGCGCCGAGCTGGGGTTGTGTCTGCACTCAGCCGGGGGTGACGGCGAGTTGCTGCAGGGGACGTACGGGGGGCTGCAGATGAGAAGGTGCCATCGGGCACGTGTGGTGCCCGGCAGGTCTGGGGGAGCTGGGTGGGGTGCCCCATGGAAGGGCTGCAGGGCTGCGAGCGAAGGGCTATGTTTATGGCTCTGTTAACAGCTTCGCCACTAACTCTACCGGGGTTTGTAAATGCTAACAGCAGCCCCATCTGGCTAGTGATGATAATGAGATTCTCGTCTGACTACAGGAGGAATAAGGGAAAGCAGCCTTTTGTGGGAGTGGGGGTGCATTTTGCATTATCGTAAGCATTTTTCCACCCAAAAAGGAGAGTTTCCTTGCCCTCCTTGGGCTGTCAGGTCCTGCCCTGTGGGGTGCCTGGGGCAGGGCTGATGGGACCACTGGGTGACATGGGGAGGTGACAGTAATACTGGGTTAAGCAGCTTCGTTAGCCCGTGCCTGGCCCTGTTGTGCCCTTACTCTGCAGCAAGCACAGCTGGAGGATGCTCTCCGGCCCCGTCCATGGCTGCTGCTCCACCGGGGGGGTGCGGTGCTGGGCTGCCCGTGGCTGGGAGGAGTGGGTTGATGCACAGGCACAATTCGAACCCACGCTCGTCCTCCATTAAGCACCAGTAAGGGGCGGTTGTCGTGACTGGTGGTCCCACTGCAGCACGAGCACTTCTTCTTTGACATACCTGTGGTTACCGTGAGTTCCTATAACCAAATGGTTAATGATACGACGGCATAATTGCAGAGTAAGTGAGTGTACATGGAGTCGAAATGCACGCGTATTAATCCGGGGCTGAGGCAGTCCTGTAATTTGTGTATCCGCATAACCCAACGATTATGTGCATTAGTGATAATTTAGTTATCAAAAAGCATAATTCCACTGTAATTGCGGTATAACAGCGGCGTAAGTGCAGCCCGTGCGTTATCAGCAGTAATGCTGCTTCCCTGCTCGTGCTGCAGGAATACATTTATTTATAAGAGCTGTCATATATCAGCCCGAGCGCGGGGCCCTGGCGAAGCGGCTCTTCCTTGGATGCCTGGGTGGGCTCTGAGCTGCTCCCTAAAGCATCTTCCCTGGGAGGGAGCGCCGGGGGACGGCCTCGCTGCTTTGCTCACGGAAGGTAGCTCCGCAGCCGTGACTAACGGTACAGTTGGACCAAGAACGTGCTTTTTCTTTTCTTTTTTTTTTTTAATGTGAAAATCCCCTAGCCTTGCCTCCTGTGGTGGCAACTGCAAGGTTGGAGGAAGAGCTGGGCTGTGCCTCCTTCACCTTTCTGTCTTCCCCCATAAATAGGACGGCTCTGCTGACACCAAAAGGCTTTACACCAGCGCAGAGCTGCTGGGAATGGGTGAAGGATCCATCCCCTTCTTTTATAGCCTGTTTGTATACGCCTGGCTCTCATTTGCACTTCTCCGACAGCGTAAAGGGTCCTGTGATTTATTGCTGCTTCAAGGTGCCTCCAGCCTGTCAAAATGATGTAAAAGGGCTTTTGGTTGACTCAGGATCTGGCCTCTGCCTAGGGCTTGCCAGCAGTTTGTCAAGTGGTGGAGTTTACCTGTGCCGGGGTATTTATGCTGGGGGAAAGAGCCAGGCAACCCTGGGGCGAGGGCGAGCATCTCCCCTGCTCCTCCCCAACAGCGCTCCGCTTCATTTTTCATGCCAAGCCTGAGTCTTCAGAGTCGGTTTTTATTTCCATCAGGCAATAATGCTCATTGCTGTAGTTAGCAGTTAGCATTCAAGCTGTTTGCTTTCTGATGCGTTATCAACTTGACCTTCAGTTTCAATTTTTAGCAAAGCCTCATGTTAAAGCTTTTGCCGTCGCAGTGGAAAGCGTTTCTGCTCAAGGCACAAACCGACCCCCTCCGCCGGCAGGGGAAGAAGGAACTCGCCCTGGGGACAGGTTATTCTTGCAGCTAGGTCTGCCCCCGGGCTACCAAGACGGACTGACCTGGGAGGGCAATTATATTTTATATATTGCAATTAGTCTGACAATTATGCTGTTGGCCCCTGGTGATTGCACCGATGGCCAGACAGTCCTTATTCACTAGAGTGATGATTTTTTGGGTGCTAGCATTGCAGAGATGTTATGTCTGCAAAGGATGAATTTTCTTTGGCCATCTTTAAGTGTTTTAAGTGCTCCCCCAAAGCATCCTGCAAAGGCAGTGGGTCTCAGCTGTATTGACACCTTGGCGCCAAGGTGCAAGGCAGGGCCAGCAGCAGGGTGTCCCCAACGTCCCCATCTCCATCTCTTGTACAGCATCTCCCCATGACCCTGATCCGTGGCATTGTTTAGTGGATGGACAGACCCGTCCGCAGCCCTTTGGCTCTGTGTGCGTTGACATCTCCGCTGTCGCCGAGCTCTTGGAGATGAAGTATTAGATTTATGTTTATGTAATTTAGCTGGTGAGCGCGGCATGTTATGCCATGCGTTGTAATGTGCAGCGCTTGGTTTTGTGAAGAGGGTAATATTTCCAGCCAAATGCAAGACTTCTTAGTCATGTGTCTGGATCAATTTTAGACTGCCATTACCCCCCTCTATTGTTTTATCCTTCGCTGAGTTTTCTGTATTTTTAGTTAAGAGGCTGATATATATTTGTGATGCATTTGTTCATCCCCATGCGACATTCATGGCTGTTTCTTTCTGGTTTTAACCAAGTTCATTACTTTTGGTTGATGCATCAGGATGTCACCCCCAAGAAGCCGCTCCCAAGTCTTAAGGCATAAACAAGCATCGAATATGACTTTACAGCAGATTTGTATATGCAATCCCAAAGGCTGCTAATCCTGGTTATTCGCTGGCCCTGGGGAGTGCCCTGTTCTGGGTCCCATGGATGCCATCCCCATGGGAGAGCTGGGATGGATGGGAGGATGATGCTGGGGGGTACCTGCCCCTGGAGTTTCCCGCCCCCCCTGGCGACGTGTGCAGGACTTAAAGCAAGTGACCTTCAGCCCAGTGACAGAGAGGTGTGATGAGCGGTAGGGCAGAGCAGGGCTGGCGATCCAGCTCCCTTTCATCCCCGAGGACGGCTGTTCTTGTGCAGTCAGCACTCAATTACCGCGGCTCACCGGAGGGCTGTTATTTGCTGCCAGCATCTCAGCTCCCCAGCCAAATCCTCCCATTCAGCAGCTGGCACAGAGCTGGACATTTTTTCGTGGCACGGTGCCGAGAGCCTGAAGGGTCCCTGCTCTGCAGGAAGGCTGCCTTTTGGGTGAATCTTTTCCTGCAGGTGTTTTCTGGCCGATAACACTGAGGGTGGTGGCATGCCTCTTCCGTGCAGGGCTCGAATGGAGCATATCTGAGCAGGTCCTTTCACAGCGTGGCTCAGGAAGGGTCCCTGGCACCCATGGGCCGAAATCATGGTTATACCCATCCCCTGAGTTTCTGTGCTGGTCTCTGTTGTCCCACCCCCTGCCCAAAAATCAGCTCCAGCTCTTCCTGGATGCGGCACCTCTTTGTGCTGGACGAGGCAGCTGGAAGGACAGGTCTGGTCACCGAGGCTCTGCTGCCATTGCCGCTTTGGGTCCTGAAACTCTTGCAGGCTCCTCGGAGGCAGAAACCACATTTCCTGGGTTATTTGCCTATTTCTTTCCCCCCACTGCTTCTTTTCTTTTTGCTACTGTCGACACTGTGTACCCCAATACAGCCTGAAGGGATGCGTGCCTCAGTTTCCCCACCTAAAAACCTTCCCTGCCCTCGAGCTGTTTGCTGGTGGATGCAAAGTGTCCTGCAAGCAGGGACTGGAGAGAGCCAGCGCTGGACTGGGGCTGCTGGGCTGGGAAAGCACTCCCTCCAGCCCCGGGGCTTGCTCCGTTTGCTGGCTGAAATCTGCCTGTAAATAATGGTGCCCTCAGCTCTTAACTCCGCTCCTTGTTTTCATGTCTCGCAGCGCTCCCTTTGTGCGGTGGAAGCGGGGAGGGAGGTGAGCGGGGCCGGACAAAGAGGAGCTATTAGTTGTGGTCGAGGCTGATGTGTGGGCTCTGGCTCGCAGCCCAAACCTGGGCTTTGGAGACAGCCCGAGTCGATATCTTGCTCTTTAATATTTTTGGTGTGTGTTGGGGGGTGCCCGCAGGCTGGCGACCCGAGTTGGTCGTGCCAGGCAGATGCCGGCGGCTCCACGGAGCTCCCAGCAAGGTCCGGTCCGAGATGGCGTAAGATGGGAGCCGCAGCCCCGGGGGCTCGGTGAAGAGAGCGTGTGTGTTTTCCATGATGTGGGCTGGGGTTAGGAGGGATGAGATAAATTATTACGATAAATGAAGGTAAAAGTTGTCTTTGCTTCCGGGACTCATCTGGCACTTCAAGCCCCAGCTCCTAGAGCCATGTGATGGGTGGGGGTCTCTGCTGCAGAGAATAAACTCAAGCCTCTGACTGCAGAGCGATGCTCCCTTTGCAGAGCAGTGGACCGGGGAAAGACTGCAAAATCTCGCTATAAATCTCCCCCAAAACCCCAGAGTCTCCTGGCTCTTCCCGGTTCAGGGCTGGAACAGGGTGAGGGGGAAGGAGACGCAGCCCAAGGGGCAGCTCGCCTGCAGAGGGGCTGAAGGAACTGGGGGGCTTGACTTGCCTGAGCCCCTGATTAGGTCTTTAGCAGAAGATCCTTCCCATGGACACAGTCTGTGGTGTTTTTCATCTAAGTGAGAAACTTGAATTTTCTGCTCCCTGGCATCCCACCCAAGGCCCTAGGTTTGAGCTGAAGACTTGCTTTTTTTTCCCCCTTCTTTTCCCCATTGCAAATTCATTAATTACTGATTTAGCCTGGCAATGAAGGCAGCTGAAAAGCAAGCGCAAATTGCTCAGATTCATAATGTCTGATGAGATTTCAAAACACTGAAGAGCGGCATTTGAGCCGGTTCCAGGGACGAGGCAGGCAGCGAGTGCCAGGAGCCTCCGGTGATGGGGACACATGATGCAGAGCCCAGGGCGCACAAGGAGGGACCTGCCATCCCCGAAGTGGGACCAGGCTGCAAAAACTGCAGCTGCCGTCACTCCCCGCTTTGTATTCCCAGGAGGGAAGGGGCGAGATGCCCACCTTGCAGTGAACTGCAGGAGTCTACGAACTGAGATCTGGCTGCACTAGGGGATGTGTTTGGGCCGGTTTTGGGTGACAAAGGCAGGTTGGTGTCCCCAAGCACGCCTGAGCTGGAAGCAGAGCTGCTTTGCCAGCAGCGGGACTGGGACTTGTGGGATATCGCAGCATTCGTGCTGGATAATCCAGGTATCGCTCTCATTAGGGCTTCACCACAAAGGAGAGATAAGAGCCACGTGTGATGGGACCCAGGGCAGCTCGACGGCGCTGCCTTTCTCCCTTGGCTCGTGCCGTGGCACGAGGCCGTTTCCCCATCACACTGCCATCCCAGCCTGGCTTGTGTGCAGGTACCCATAGGATGTAGGAAGCCTTCCCCAAATTGCAAAGCCTATTTTTGCTGCAGTGTTGAGGATGGATGGGTGGGTGGACGGTGCAAACCCTCGCACTGCGCAGGACATCCCATGCTCCGTGGTTAGACCAAAGCACAGCGGTCCTGTGATGGCACAGGAGCTTTGCCTCTACGAGGCCACAGAGCCATGTCTCTAATGACTTCTCCTCTAATGAGTCTGTTCCTGGAGGCTTTGAAGTGACATGAATAATGAATCCCGGGGCAGGGGAGCAGCCAGCCGCTCACCAATTAAGACTCTAGGCTTGGGAATCTCATTTAAATGGCTGGGGTTAGGAAGGGAAGGCCAGGAGCATGCAGGTGAGCCGTGCAGGTGCTGCTTGCAGAAGTCGGGCTGTGCAGAGCCCGATCCCCTCCTCGGGGTGCCCAGGGAGCACGTTGCGGTGGAGGGGACATGCACGTCGCTGTTCCCAGCACGGTTGAGCCAGGCCCCCCTTCTCCAATGCGTCAGTGCTCACCCAGTGCTTCACAGCCGCCAGCTCTGCAGGGAGCCCCGGGGTTCCACCCTGATTGATGGTGTACGTTAGTGACAGCAAAAGCTTATTATCTACCTGCAATCAAGAGGGCACTTCAGTGTCACGCTTCCCGGAGCAGCTGCGCTCCCACCGAGCCCGTAATGGTGGAGATTAAACCCTGACCTGTGTTTCACAACACGCGTTAACCCCACCTTAATGAGGAGAGTCCCCGAGGCCCCCGGCGAGCGGCCGGCAGAGCCGCAGGGATGCCAGGGGAGGCTGAGATCCCACTGGGCTGTGGGTGATGCCGGTGGGAGAGGCACGGCCATACGCTTGAGGATACTGCAGGCAGCGGTTTGCTCCCGGAACGCTTTGCCCTGCCCTGGGTGGGGGTGATACGATCACAGGCAAGCTTTGCACGGCTGGGATGGGTGCACAGGGCTGTTGGGTGGCACTGGGTGCAGACCCTCACAGTTTTGCCCCAGGGGCCAAGGTGGGACTCGGGTGCAGATGCGTCCCCGCTGGCCTGGCTCTCCTGGCAGGAGGCTGGATTGTTTGCAGGAGGATGAGCCCCGTGGCAAACCCTTCCCTCTGCAGAGTTGCTCTTGCTGCATGTCCTGGTTTTGCACGGGAGATTTTCCCTCTTGACCTGACGAACATCTGCGCCGAGACCCACCTGGGTGGCAGGGGGCGGCTGCCACTTATTAACTGGCGTGTGCTCATTACAGCAAGCTCTGGCAAGGTGGCAGAGAAAGGGCTGCAAGTGCAGCGGTGGGCATGCTTGGCCACCTCCCATAATTACATCCCCACCATTTCGCTTCCCTGGATGCAGGCTGCTGAATATTTCATCCTTGGCTCTTCCCAGCAGCCTCCCTGCGAAGCTGCTGGCTCTGCTGCCGTGGGACCAGGCTGCTACTGCCGTGGGGGCTTGGGCCAGGAGCTGGAAGCAGCTCCGGGTGCTCCCAGACCCTGGGACTGCACCTCCGGGTGCCTGGTTGCTGCCCCAGCCCGTGGGAGGTTTGGGAATGGGCTCAAGTTGGGTTTTCAAGGCTGTTTCTTGCTGCAAGCGCCCTGCATCCCGCGCTGCCGTGCATCAGTGATGGCATGCATGGGATGTCATCTGAGCATCCTTAAATCAGGCGCCTGTCTCCAAGCTGTCTCCAGCAGCTGGTTGTGGGATGCTGTCCCGGTCCTGGAGGCTTCCCCGCTATTCCTGCTCCAATTTGGCTCTTTCCCAAAGCTGGAGGAGGAAAGGGGTCCCCGTTCCTCACCTCCTGCCTTCTCCCAGAGTCAGACCCTGGCCCGAGTCAGGGAGCGATGCTGCGCCATCCTGCCGGAGGAGGGAGAGCAGCCACCTCCTCCTCCCCATCATCGCCGCCGCCTCCTCGCTTTGATTTCTTGCTTTAAAGGAGTGTTTTGACTAAATGGATTTTTGTGCAAAGACAGTAGGAGCATCGCTTGGCAAATCCCCCTTCCCACCGTGGCGCCTGGGGGCCATGAATAATGCAGGTGCTGAGAGCCTGCGCTGCTGGAGGTGAGCGGGGCTGCCCCGAAATGCGCAGCTCTGCCCACCCCAGCCACCTCCCCCTCACCCCCCAACCTCATTTTTTCATTGTTAAGAAGATTTCATTAATTAAGAAGATAAAAACATTAAGCGGTGTTGCCAGCTGGAGGAGGGTGCTACAGGAATGTGGGGCTCCCAGACCCTCCGAGGGCTTTTAGCTGGGCTACGTTTGTGTTATTTTTAAGCCTGGAGAGCCCCGATGAGCTGTAGTAAACTGTAGGGCACAGGCGGTGCAGCCAGGGGTTGCAGACATCCGTGTCCATCCTCGGGGCAGTTTTCTCCTGGCATCCATCCCCGCTTTCCCCTCCCCCTGGCCTGGCCGCGTCCTGCTCGCGTGCTCCGCGCTCTGCAGCCGCTGTGTTAATAAGGTCCTCATTACGTCCTAATTGCCTGTATCCCTTTTTTGTTACGTTCTTCGTTAGTTTGATTTAACGGAGCTGCCGAGTAACTTGGTCATTTCTGAATTGCCATCGATTTAGTCTCCTTTCTTACTTATTTATGGACCAGTCTCCCCTGCCACCCCCTCTTCCCATGTGTAGAAGATGACGGTCACTGCCACGAGCTCACCCAAGGTCACTTGTTGCCCCTGCAAGTGCCACAAGATCCTGGGGATGCTCAAAGCTGCTGCTCGGGGCGAGGGGAATAAAACACTCATGGAGGACCCCAATGCAAAGCCTTGCTGCTGTCCCAGGAAAGTCTTGAAGCTGGGTTTGCTCTGGCCGTGCGGGGCAGGGGCCGGTGCTGCAGCTGCCACGCGTGTGCCAGGAACCCCCATGTCCCTGTGCCACACGCTCATGGGCACACGCATGTGCGGGGCACGTGTTGTGGTGCACGTGTTGTGGTGGGACACGTGGCACGGCGTGTGCCTTCTTGCACTCACACGAGCCCGGAGCAGAGCACAGGAGGCACGGGAGCCTTGTGGTGTTGGTGCCTGGTGGCACGCAGGTGTGCACTTGTGCCGGCTCCAAGCTGTCACTTGCATGTGCATGCACCCGCCCGACTCTGCGCCGGGGCTTTTGGAAGGCGCTCGTGTTTGCAAACTGCTGCTTTTGTTGGATTTTTCTCCTTTTATTGCCATGGAAACTGTAATTAAGCTGCACTGGCTCCTTAGCCGGAGCTGCCGTCTCTGGCGGCACAGTCGGTGCCACCCTGGCCTGGCCGGGGGCTCGGCGGTGACCGGGGCCGAGCACGCCCCAGGCAGGGACGTGCCTATCCTGCCGGTGCTGCCTGCTGCTGCCTGTCTCGCCTGGCTGATCTGTCTGTCTAGGAGTCTGTGTATCCAACTCCCACCTCTCCATCCATCTGGCTCCCCATATGGGAAACAAACAGCAAATTGGCCCCATTTCTTGCCACAGGAAAAAAAAAACAACCTGAAAACCCCCCTCTGTGGCTGGGCGGTGTGGCTGCTCCCCCGGCCAGCAGGTTTCCATTGCTGGGAGATGCTGTTATCCCCATCCCTGCAACCTCCCTTGCTGCATGCTTGGCACCCATCAGATCCCCCCCTTCTCTCTGTCGTTAGGCTGCAAGGGGCCAAATTACCCCAATTTTCCGCCAGCCCTGTGGGAGGGAGCGAACCCTCCCATCTCGGAGGCGTCCGCCTCGGTACCTGTCCCCGTCCTGTCCTCCCCCTGCTCCTCTCCAGGGCAGTAAGCTGGGAAATCTCTCCCTGCCACCGTGTGCTAATTACTCTGACCTTTGCTTAAGCGGGGATCTTTTAGTGGCAGGCGAGGTATCAGCCGTGTCATTTACTATGCAAATTGAGACCATCAATTACATCCAGAAGGTCCTGCAATGTTTAATTTTCTCTCCCATCTCTCTTTTTATTGGCATCTGCAAAAATGCAGGAGCAGGAGGGCTCTGGCTTTTCGGAGCTGGAGGCTGGGAGCCCAGCAGCCATGTGTGTGGACTCTTCCAATTGCCAGCTTCCCCTTGTCTCTTTTAATTTTAATTAACTGCTTTTGCAATTGCCCTGTGGAAAGCTGGGCTGGGAGCTTGGCCGGTGCCGCAGGGATGGGAATAAAACCCTTTGCAGGGCCAGGCTGCTGTCTCGGAGGCGAAGGGCTCGTGCTGGGGCTGCAGCCCATAGTCTCCTCTTCCCACGGGCTGTTTTTGCCAGTATTTGACCATTGCGTGTGCAGAGCCCTTTGCAAAACCCAGTCCTGGGCTGAGGAGGGGCTGGTGCTCGGGGCTGGCTGGAAAACCCTCTCCGAGCCACCAGCATGGGACCGTGTGTCTGTCGGGGGGATGGGGCGTGATGTGGTTGTGGCTCGAGATGACAGGAATGGATGGAAGGCAGAGATGAGCTACAGAGATGCGGGATGGGAGGGAAGGCGGTGCAGAAGAGCTGAGCTGGGGGGGAGAGGAGGGGTGAAGGCAGCGACCTGGGAGAGGAGGCACGAGGGGAGGGCTTGGGTATGGGGCCTGGGGGGCTG